CGAACATAAAATATGAATTCATAACAAAGATGTAATATCATTAATTTCCAATAATGCCCTCCAAAATTCAAATTTTGAAATAAACAAATTCTTTTAAAACTCCTATAAGATTTTATAAAAATCTAAATTCCCCACTGAATTCTCCATGAATTTTTAAAAGATTTAAAATGAACGAGTGTTTATGCTTTACTCTAGGCAACGTATCAATTATCTTTTTAATAATAGTAAGAATTCAATGATACCAGCCTTCATCACAAAGATATACTAACTTGGAGGACATCAAAAAAGCAGTTCTATCTAAAATTGTGAATGCTAATTTTGATGATATAATAACAAGTAGATAAAAGATTGTTGTTAAGGGATAAACTATTTATAAGGGTGTTATTCATATAATGGCAAAAGATGGTCTCATGGTAGAAAAAAAAATGTTATTTGCTTTAACGGAAACAAAAGGGAAAAATCACAATAAGTTATAAAACTTTGATGAGGAAAAGAAACTAGTTGGAGACAATGATCAGGAGAATAACTAAGCGGATGTTAGTATAATCACAGATTGGTTATGTGCAAATCTAGGTGATGCTCTTCTGGATATTGATGAATTCAAATGCAACAGCCATTAGATTCTATATTCAACTTATTCACACCATACATGTCATCAAAAGAAATAATTTTCCAGTTATGAGTCATAGTTTATATATATATATATATATATATATATATGAAAAATATCGCAGTCAACAAAATAATTTTGCATTAAATGAAAATGCATGATGGTGTAATTAGAACATTCATTGGAGTTAGGCATGTAACATTCCTCAAAAAAGAATCTTACATCTGCTAGATATCTCAGTGAAGCTAGATACAGATTCTAAAAAAAGGTTGAAGTCTTATGTTTCTTCTCAAGAATGCCAATAGAAATGATAGATATTGTGTTCAAAGTGCAATTTCAAGTAAATCTTCTTTGATTCAGCGTACACGTAGAAGCAACAAAATTTGTGGAAGAAAAAACTATATATATGCATCATATTTATAATTCAAGTTATGGGGCATACAAGGCACGAGTTGACAGAAAAGCTAATGGAGATGATTATATGAACCAATCGTGTTATGTAGTCTAATTCAGGCCAAGCTCATAGCAATGCTGCATTCAAAGTAAGGAGACATCCATTTTAGGGGCATAAAGGTACAATGTTAGGTTCACTCATTAATAGATGCACTTCAATATGCAATAATTATGCTCCATCGGCCTTTCATGTTATCGTAAGTTCAAGCTTCATCAAGATTGTGTGATTGCACAAATGCTCTATAAGGATTAGAGAGCTTAGAGAGCTTGGTTTGAGTAGGAGTCATAAGAGAGATACCACTTTATATAATCACAAATTTGAGCCAAGAGAATTAAACCTCAACACTCTTGCATTGGATATTTCTCACATTTTGCAGCAAAATAATAATTTTTATGGCGACTTTTACACATTTTAAGTAATCTTATAATATGAGTTAGACTCGATGTTAATACGTCTTATTGGCTTCTTTCTTATGAGGTGCATGAGTATACAGTAAGATTGAGTGTGTATAGGTTTCGGAAAGAGTATTTTTCAATATCTTATTTATTTGAGCGTCTTTTGGCTTTTTTATAATGGATTAATTCTCACTCCTCTCTCATGGATGCAACAATTAATTCTGGCAAAACCACGTAAATATCAGTGCCTTCTACTTATCTATGTTTTATTACATTAATTAGTCATCAAATTAAACGCTTCTACATGAATAAACAGATTTTTTTAACATATGTTGCAAAAATCATGCAACAGAACACTTATATAACTATAATAAACCTTGTAGAGCTTAATGTGAATGAATAAAGAAAAAATGGTTAATAAATAAGACCTCAAAAGTAGGGGTAACAGTTTTATGATGATGTAATGTTCTATAAAGTTTTATTTGAAAAAGTAAATAAATGACCACTCAAAAGAAAAAAGTACCAAAATGCCAAAGGCCCCAAAATTCCGGGTTAGGACTAAGCATGATGCTTTGCACCTACATTACAGGGAAGCTAGCTGACTCAGGTTTAGAAAAGAGCAAGTTAACCATTATGCCAAGGCTGCGCTTTGGTCATATTGATAGATATAAATAAACTATAATTTAATTAAAAAAAAAAAAAACTATAGCATAGACAGAACAAGTCCACATGGAAAGATGTGTATATAGAGTCAAACTCCCAATTTATGTTAAGCATATTCGTTAAACAAAAATTTCATCAACATAAAAATTCAAAATGCATAATCGTAGGGATTTAAATAATAATTAGGTATGACCATGAGAATTTTCAAATAGAAAAATATTGTTTCAGCCTAAAATCTAAAAATAGAAGTGTTGGAACACTTCTATTGGTTCAATCTATCAGTACACAGACTAGTCATCCCCCAAACTATTTTCTCCTAATTTGAAAATTAAAGATATAGCTAATTTTAACTAACCATGCATTTTTTACCGTTAAAAAGAATAGCTCGACCTGAATGATGAAAAAAACAACAATCTAGCCACCAATTCAGCATTTCCCTACCCATTCCCAGCCCCCGCCCACCCACCTCCCAAGCCTCTAAATTGCTCAAGTAATATTCAACCCACTAAAGCACCGAGATTCAAACTTATGACAAAAAAAAGACCCATAAACGTAATGCCTTTCAAGCAGATCTACAGATGGGCATACCATATTAACCATGAATCTCCAACCAAAACAAAAGTAAGGAGGAAATTATATAGAGTTGCCAAATATTGAGTCTTCAAAACAAATAAGAGCTAAATATACCTGAATAATTGGAGATTTATATATAGGAACAACAGTAATTAAAATAATTTCAAATAACAATAAACAAGCACTCCCATTTTTCATTCTTCAAACACAACTCATAAGACAAGTGGTGGGGCATAAACCTCACACCCTACTAATCAAAAAATGGGAACTTCAAGAATCTTAGTAACAGCATACCAAGGCAAGCAAAGGATATCATATTCAAGCCAACGACCTGCAGTTCAAAAACCCAATCCTAGGCTAAAAAGTGCACATTCATGGCCAAGTGCAAGAACCTGACTGGATGATATTGCAAAAAAATAAAGAGAATACTAAAAGATCTTTTCAAGAATAGGAGCAACATGACAAAAGCAAACACAAGAGGGACATTCAATGGATGTAACTATAATTGCAAATTAAGCAAGTACTATTCAAAGTGATGTTCTCTTGGTGACTATTGAATTCAGATGTAATGAATAAATAAAATTTTGTAATAGTAGTATATGTGCCTTCCTATTGAATTGTTTTAAGCTTAGAAATCACATTTTATTGATTATGGTTGTATGGTGAATGAAACAATTTGCAACACTACTGATTAAGATAAAATAAAGTTAAAGGTGGAAGTTCTCAAGAGAATTTGAAGTTCCTAACCTTTGCAAAGGTGCATTGGTTGTCACGAAGATATAAAGGGCTGGTAGATTCTCACTCATATGTTTTGTAGGGCGAAATTTAGATTAGGATTGCTTGAGTTCATTATCATCTATGTTAGAGCACTATGATGTGGAAAGAGGGGGAAAATAGAGCTAAATGCATAGTTATAGTCTAAGTTGTTGAACAAAAGAAAACACATGCTAAGTGGAAGGATGATGGACATCTGTAATAATAGTTGTATCAAAATCATAGAAATTGATTTATATGAATTATATCATTGTAATTTGATCCATACAAGACCTCTCACTATACCTTTTTTTACTTTTAGTTTATTCTATGTAAAACATGAATATAACATTGCTTCTTATGCAAACAGAATATGTTCTCAAAGTTTGTTAGGTGTAACTCTTTACTGCATCCTTTCATCTCAACCCATGGAATCCCAATTTACAGATGGAGTCGAAAAGTTTCACCTCGCAAAGTTCTTCATTTTTTTTTTTTTTCATTATGTCGTTGTTGTCCATCATCTTCCGACTATTGCCACCATCATAATTCCTACTTCACAATTTTGTTGCAGCTTTAGGATCACAATAACACTTTTCTGCTACTTCATTTTATCTTATTTGTCCACTTTAGGGTAGTATGTAGTTTCATCTTAGATTACCATCAAGTTAGGAGATATTCATATTGGTACTATTACAACCCTTTATATTTAATACCCCTGTGTATTCTTTTATTTCACAAGATACTAGGATTTTTTCTTTTCTTTTTTTTTTATTTGGCTTGAGAAATTGTGGCTTTTCTCTACGAATAGATTGGTTGTGTGTGTGTGTGTGTGTGTGTGGCAGTATCAACAGTAAAATCTATGCAAACCATTACATTTGTGCCTCTCCAATTTCTATAAGTGTGATGAGCACAGAGAACATAAATTTCTAATCAAAGCCAATCTACCAAGCGAGTTTCAGAATCATTAAGTGGTGAAATCCTGTAGAGTTACCAATCCTATAGTCTTCAATCCAGCTAAGAGTTACATATAGCTCACTATCGGGATAGTTAATATATAGAAATAACGCACACAAAAAAAAACTCCTACAAACAATAAAGATGCAATTCATTTTCAATGCTTAAGAAAAAAAAGAAATTAGAAGCAATGAAGATTCAACTCATCTTCAATGCTTCAAACTTTTCATAAGAACTTACTTGGGCATAATATCAAACGCTCCTGCTCCATAAATGGAAACTTCACGGTTCATGGTAACAGGCTAACAGCATACCCCAGCGCTCTAAGGATTTCATACTCCAGACAACACCCCACAGTTTATGAACATAATCCTCACAAAAAAAAAAAAACAGAAAATAACTGATCCTACGGTCTAAGCCTAATCACTAATGTTTCTGCCTTCCCTTTCACCCATCAAGTAACTCCGCTTCTCCCATCAATCAACAAACCGACTTTATGCCCACCCACTCGGTTTCATGCTCCTATCTAATTCAAAAACATATAAAAAAATCATAAACCATAACACAGCCGGAAAATAAAAGATATAAAAAATCTCACTTGAGAAGCCGGAGATCCGAAAGACTCCGCGGCAGACGGAGAATCTTGTCGTACTCTCCCCTGGGCATTGTGCTGAAGATGGAAAGGATGCCAACGACAAACGTGAGGAAGACGGCGATTGCGGCCGCCAGTTCAAACCGCGAAAGCGGAAACTTCGCATCCGACCTCGGCTTCTTGCTCGTCGGCGAGTCCTCACCTCCCGATGCGGCGCTCTCCTCATCACGACCGGCCTTCGGAAGCGCCATTACTAAGAGCAAAGAAGACGGAAACGGCAGAGGACGCCAGAGCCAGCGCTCAAAGTTTCACCCCCACCGATGATGCGATCATCGAATACCTCGAGATGGTTTTGAAGTCAAACCCCGATCTAGACTCGTTCTCCCGATAATGAAAAAGGGAAGAGAGGAGAGGACTAGGGTTTATCAGCTCCCCGGTTGGGTAAACGGTACGGCATCGAAGGTATCGCAGACATTTTATTCCGCCGTGAGGGAGAAGAGGTGGTGGGTTCATTAAAATGGCCACGCATGCGTTGGGGTTGCTCGATATCCTTTGTGGATGGGTTGTCATAGGATAATTTTATGCGAATGTTTAGATCTACCGTTGATGTTTATGAAGGGAGATCTTGACCGTTTGTTTTCTTGTTTTGACGCTGACCGCATGGGAGCTTCAGAGCGGGTAAATCGTGTGTGAAGCTTCTCCATCTGGTTTGAGGAATCCTGCAGTTGGCTTTTCTGACAGGGTTTTGGGTTATTCTTTTGGTATTGGTTGGTTGATTTATGGACTCGGGTGCACCGAGTCCGCTTTCAAAACCAATTGAAAATTTTTATTTAAAATCAAATTCAATCTAGTTTATAAAAAAAAATTCAATTTTATTTTAGATTATATATTTTATTATTTTTTGTTTTATTAATTAAAAAAACAAAATACATAGAATTTATTCTAACTTATGTTTTTTTATTATAAAATATTATATATATATATATGTAACAT